TTAGACCGCGCGGCCACTGTGATCGGCCAGACACGATATGGCGTGTAGACTAGCCGAGGGGGACCGGCCGTTAGTTCCTTTAAACTGAATTTTTTCTTTTGTATTTTTTGGGGCCTTTTACTCTGGAGTCCACGTGACGGCCTTGTGAGAGTCAGCCGGGGNCGATGCTGCGCGAGCGGGCTCGTCGTGGGAGGAGGACGGGGGGGGGGGGGGGCTGCCGTTTATCAGACATCTCACCGTTTATCTTGACACTATCTTATCTAAATGCGTCAAGCCACACGTTGAAGTGGAATTGGGGCAGACTCAGCTCTCTTGAGTTCCATACCTTTGCCCTGCGATCCGTGGAACAGGAGCAGAAAGCGCTATACCGACGTGCCGCTGAGTCCGAACAAGTTCCCCTTATCTGGAACGCACCCGGACCCAATGACGATTGATGTACTGTCCTGCTGAGTATGTCCACACCGCCAGGTGAATTTAGGCACAATTTTCCGAACTCAGCCCATCAAATCCCTGCTCCATCCGTTCCAGTTCATAATCATTACACTACAGCGCTTTCAGAGCCTGCTTAAATAGGCCTGGCAGTTCAATAGTTTTCAATCAAAAGGTAACACTAAAATCTCTGAATAAGAAGGGCTTGTCGATGGAAAGCAATGAACGCCATGACTCAACTTGCAGTTCAGTTCCGACGGGAACCAAGAAGCGCGTCATTTCCATCAGGTTCCCCCCTAATTTGAAGCCAGTATGGGGCAGGCGTTTAGATAACAAAAATAAACATTATAAGGATAAAGAATACCGTCTTTAGGCACGTGACACCGTGCACTCTGGTAATCTTAATATATGTTTCAGCGAAAGGTACTGCCCTCATATTTGCTACAGAAAACTAAGTTAGCAACCATCTACCCAAAAGGCGAAGACAGCTGGTTCCTCTCAAACATCGTTAAACATCTACCAGACTACACAGCGCCACAGTTACTTTCAAGTTTTAGAGTGACTGTCGAAGGGATTTTGAATTGGAGATTGCATTTATTGACAAATTACAGGTCGTAACTACAAATAACTATAACACTATTACTAATTCATACACTCAGCACACGCTAAGTATTTTTAGTCTTCTTTCTCTAGTCGTTCCCCGGTAACGGATCTTAACAATGGAGATTCTTCAACTCCACCGGCCAAGTCTTCTCATCCTTACAACGTCTACACTTGTCTCGGGTACATTTCGGCAACGGACGGCGTACAAAACACCCTTAATTGTTGTACTTCAAACGTTTCCGTGGGAACGAGTCCGGAAATCTAGGTAATAGAGGACACTACGTTTCGGAAACTGGATCTGTTTCCGTCTTTAGGTGAGAAATGAAGACACCTATTCAGTTGGACCCTTTAGAAAGAGCTAATATCAATCACTGGACTAAGTTTGGAAGTCATACAGAACTGCAGGAAGAATCACAGTTCTGTATGTCTCAGCCTTTAGGATCTCCGACAGCAGGCGAGACATTCTGAAATGCGGCAGGCTTTACCCAAGTGTCACGTGCTGTGTCTTCGCGAACAGGAGCGGTACGCAGGCAGAACTGCATACAGATGTGACCATTACAGCACAGTGCACAGCGCTGGCTGGAATTACATATGTTACAAGGCCAAATTTCGCTAAAGTTCTTCGCGTTTCCCTCAGCCTCCTCGGACAAATTCCGGCCACGACCGCTTCCTACGAATAGCAAACACAAATAGTCAATCATAAACCATCTCCTTTATATTTCGTATATGCACTTCAAAATTAGTATCAGTACCCACGGAAAAGGGACGATACACTGAAGTAATATTTTGTCCACTTGTTCAGTTTCTGCTACACAACTTGTGTTCATGCTCGACAGTTCGTTGCTGTGGTAACCGGAAATTGCGTAACAATAATGATAAGTCTCACTCCCACAAATCATTATGTGCATAAACTGATAATAACGTGATGAACAGTAAAGGCAACTGCACACGACATGTGTAAGGAATTGGACGTCGCCCTGTGCCCAAACAAATACTGAACTGTACATCCACAGGGAGGAGGCCCACTGGACGGTGGATGGATCGGCCAGTTGAGTGAGTGCTGGAACTACTCACACCTTCACTTGATTACCGTGGAAGAACATAAGAAATTTGTATAACGAATTTAATTCTGAATTATGGTCCACGAGGGAAGACAGAATGTTAGAAGACTTACGAAAGATAGATTGATCAAAGGGGATTGCGAGATGAACGGAAAAGGCTGTATCTTATGCTTGAAGTTGAAGATGAAGCATTTAAAATAAATGAAATACAGTAGGCGCACAGGGTCCCCCAGACCTGGTGCATATGAGAGAAAGTGTCGATCTGGGGCACCGAGTGCTCGGTCTCGTGACCCACTTTTTTGCAACTATCGCTGTACGTCTATGAAGGTCAGCTGAAAATGTGACGTAACTCGTTTGCGGTCTTGTGACTCCGTGAGACCTTGGTTTGGTTCCCGAAAGTCCTCGACCGTTGGGAAAATACAGCGAGTCACGTGATCACTTCAGTTCCTAATGCAGAGGAACTTGGGAAGAGCAAGAATGTATTCTCGTGATTCGTACCGAAAGTAAAGCCTGACGTTCGTCTAAATGCCATTCAGAAGTTCAGTTCATATCTCATATAAAACGCACTATGTATGAATTACAAAGAGCAACCGGTTAGTGTTGTTTAGGGGAATATAGCTTCTAAAGGGTTCTGACGATGGTGGATGACACACAGAATTACTCGGGTTTTTGACTTTTTCCACCGTCCGGAATTTTAGGTAATAGAGGACACGACGTTTCGGAAACTGCATCTGTTTCCGTCTTCAGGTGAGAAAGGAAGAAAACTACTCAGCATGGCCCCTTAGAAAGAGCTAATCTCCAGTAACTGAGATTAGTTCTTTATAAGGGGCCCAACTGTCTGACTCACACACACTCAGTATATGCAGAGTTAATGACCCTTTTTGTTGTCAACAAAATGAAGAAACTTGAGGAGGTGGAACCTCCTCTCAATGAACAGATCCAAAAAATGTGGGTGTTCCCAGAATTTTCCTCTGGGAAAAATAGCTCTTTTTATATGGTTTCTGGTGAAGTCCTTGCAACAGAAACAATGCCAGAAACTTCATTATTTCATTTCTGTTTGCTCCCTTCCAGTGATTGGTCCCAATCTCAGTTTTAGATTAAACATCTTACCCACTACAATACAGATTACCGCATGACATGTTAAGACGTAACTTAACTGGTTAACAAAACTGCATCACCTGCAGGAATTTTGGTATTAAATGATTATGTAAGTGAAAGCGATGAGCCAGAAGTGGCCATAAACTGTAAACAATTTTCTTGAGAGAGTAAGTAAAATCATAAAAAATTCATAAAGCATTTATACACCCTTTCATTAGGTGATGAAGTGAAGTGTGCAATGATTAGGATTATTACTTTTATGTGGTAAATTAGCCTGGGCCTGGTAACCAGCTGTTCTGACAAGTGGCTTTCCTCAGTCCCTCCAGGCAAATGCTAGCATAGTAACGTTAAGACAAGCAGTGACCAAGAACCAATAACTGTTACTGACTGCATGCCACACTACAACCATGGTGCATGTGTGTAAGCCAGCACACCTTATTAGGTTTGGGCATACCGGAGAAAGAGCTTACTCCAGACATCATGTGGACTGACGTACAAGCAGTGACAGTTACTAAAGACACTACTGTACAGTATCTGCTGACTGATAGCAATAGTAATGAAACAATTGGGATGCAATCTGTGGGACTTCATTCAGGCTGAAAAACTGTTTCTTTGACAAGTACTTTGAAAGTTCTTACGAGGTAACTGCAGTGCCAAAGAAACATAATTGAGGGTTGGGGATATTTCAACCCCTTATGTACAAGCTAATCAATCATTTTCTGTGCTTTGTATGATTCTCACAATATACAGTGATTATTTATCTAAACAGCATTAATCAGCTGATCCTTATAATGGGGATGCAGTGTTTTCTAGGCTATGAACTGAATTTTTAATAACTGTTTACATGAATTTCCACTTGAAGGGCTTTGGCCTAGATGGGTGGGCTACAAATATGAGAAGTCTAGCAATCAGATTGGCACGTTGTGCACTGCCTTCACACGGCTCTGGGCAAACTAGCAACGGAACTTTGGGCTCCCCAAATGACAGGAACTTTCTGAACCGGTGAGTGAGTAGACGTTTCTGAATAAGGACTCTGCCCCATCTAGTTATTAGAGATAATCTCCATGCTTCAAAATGTTAGCATGTACCTGCCACATTTCTGTTTCATTACGAACATGCTACTCTGAATTACCCTTAGTATCTACTAATATGCCAGTCAGATATTTTCCTTCCGTGAAAATGTACACTGGAAAAACTCCTGCAATTTTGGAGAAATCCTATGACATAGTCCAATGAACAGTGAAGGCCAACGCTGGTCCAGCAGTAGCTGCAGGTCATGGGGCTGTAGCCACCTTCACAAACTTCACCTCAAGTCAATTCATATTAAGAGGATCTGATTCTTAGAAGAGTAGGAAATACAAGAAATTTACAAAGGATGTCCATGTTTACTAAAAAAAAAAAACTCCATGGCTTGAGTCTGCAAGTGAACTATACTGACTGAGCGCCGCCACTTGTCGGCAAAGTTAGTGCCAACTTTAGTGGATAGAGGGTGTCGCATGATCAGTGCAACAAATCCCCACAGCCATTAATGTCAGAGTTCTAGATTGGAGCCACTATTTCCTTGAAACAGCTCCTCAATTATCCCCACAAGGCTAAGTGGACCCTGTTCAAGACCCACTACTTCTCAGAAAATTTGGTAGCGCCGGGATACGAACCCTGGACCTCTGGATCTATAGCCAGGAACTATGACCACTAGAACACAGAGGTAGGTCCCATGTTTACTAATACTTTTGTTAACTTGGTTTTCGTTGTAACCAAATTTGTACACTTCAGCTCCAATTCCAGGATTCTGGAAAATGATCACACAAATACATTTTTCCAGTTTTATTGCCACTGTAATCTCATTCATACACCAATAACAGACATATGCTAGGCATATACCAGGTCATGAACCATTGTGGGTAGCAGAAGACATACACAGAACTGGGTGGCAAATATGGACACACCTGAAGAAGCTTTTCGAATATTCCTGGTCAAAAAGAAAATCCGACAAAATTATGGAAGATCAAAATCCCAACATCAGGAATACATTTCACTTTTAAACAACACTGTATTTGATATATATTTATATGCCAAAGCTAAAATGACCAGACTGCCTAATAACAAACAAGAATATACGTAAATGCAAAGTGAATATACAATTTTATTTATAGCTAACATCTACCCAAAATAAGAAACAGACTTGTTCACAAACATGCTGATACAACTATGGCCCATAAATTGGTCAGCACAGATCACTGTTGTTGACTTCATGTAAATACTGAACATGACTTTATGGAGGAGAGAAATCCTGTTTGCCAGTTACAGCTGAAACAATCAACACTGACTGTTCATAGGCCAGACATATAACACATGTAGCAATGTGATGATTCAGGAGCTGATAAATCCGATCTGGTTCGTCAGGTTCATAACATGTCTACAGTTGATGTCCAGCATCATGGCGATCACTCGCCCCTCCATCTTACGAAACTGCAGAGGCAGCAAATGGAATGTACACATACAGTTACACCTTCCTTCCCCCAAATTTAACAATATCAATGGAAACAAATGTACTATCTAATTTCTATGTTGCATATTTTACAACTACAGCCGAGTTTTATTATTAGTATCTTTATATATTTCTTTATTTATTTATTTACCTACAATTATTTTCACAGTCACACTCAAAGCTAGACACCACAGACACTAACACACGTTGTTGCCTCCTCGTCTGTAGCGAACGGTGATTCGGCGGAAATCTCCTCACTCCAGACAGAACACAAGACATGATGTGACAGATACAGTATACACAGATTCATTCAAGCTATGTTCGTATGCCATTCTTCAAAAGAGATGTGTTGTTCAAAATTCAACATCATAATTAGTACCCTTAAATACAAACATACAACTTATGTAGAGCTGCATGGATCCTAAAACACGGCAATATGCACAAACACTATTTTATGCTGAGAAGAAAGCAGTCTTCTGGGATTTGGCACCGTGTACATGTGGTGTTAACCAAAACGTCGGTTAACACCACATATACACGGTGCCATATTCCAGAAGACTGCTTTCTTCATAGTCACTGCCGTGAAAGCCTCAAATGTTATACTACTTTATGCTGCTCAACTTTCGATTAACACACATCTTTGAATGGGAACATATGCTTGCATAAAACATCCAGTTTTTGTTAAAAAAAATGGTGCTACTTTCCATTAAAGTGCCAAATGAACTAGGCTATGATAATTATTTTACAGGTGAGGATGTTGGCCTTGGAAGTCAACTCATATTGAGAACTACAGACACGATCCATCACGTCAAGATGACTTCCACCCGCTGCCAACAAATCTTTCTTACATGTGAATGATGGGAACTCTTTTAAACAGTTTATTTCGTGTACAGGTAGATGGCAACAATGAGTCCATAAAGACCCAACACCTCAGCAAAAATGAGGATCAGAATCATTCCTACGAAGAGACGTGGCTGTTGGGCTGTGCCTCGAACACCGGCATCACCAACGATACCTATGGCAAATCCAGCAGCCAACCCACTGAATCCTACAGCCAGCCCTGCACCCAGATGGACAAATCCCCTGAAAGCAAGCATAACAATCAGTCACATTTAATGCCAAAATTCTATTTAAATGTGCAAATATTAGAAGATGACTGGATAAAAGTGTAACCTATTCCAAGATTCTAACCATCTAAGTTAATCCCAGTCATGGTTGCCAACCCTGAGATTCCTGCACCAGCAAAAGTAATGAAGTAAAGCATAACCAAGCAGCACAAGAGTCATGCTTCTGATCGAACATGAATATTAATGGGGCAGCTCACTTACTTGAAGAGAGAGTACTTGTCAGGTTCTTCAAGAGCACCAGCTATCAGTACAGCCACCACAAGCCCATAGATGGCAAGAATACCTGCCATGACTACAGGAATGATGGACTTCATGATAAGTTCTGGCCTCATCACCGACATGGCAGCAATACCGGTCCCTGATTTGGCTGTGCCATATGCCGCACCCAGGGCTAAAACACATTCAAAATATGTACCCTATAACTCTCAACCTAATATATGTAGGATCTGAGTTTTTCACAGTGGTGTTCATGAAGAGTTCTATCTTCTGGGACATTAATCTGCATAGTTCATTGAAAGGCAACCCATGTTTCAGCCGAAAATTACCTCCACCTTCAGGATTGAAGAATAAGCTGAGCTCTAGTTGCTAGTTCTTGCATGACAATTTCATGCTTACCTTAATTTCTTGACCATGCAGATGGAGGTGGCACATTCCTCTGAAATGTTGGATGATTTTCAACAAATTACACTGCATTACATCCCAGACAACAGAACCCTTTATACAAATATGGTTCATATAAAAATTTAACTGAACGGAGAACACATGAAGATATATATATTCCCTCTGCATTCTTGCAATATGTAAAACAGTCACAGACATTAAAGAAGTGTGCAAGTAATGTGGTACAGTTTCTGAATAAATCTTCATTCCCAGTTTTTCTTAATAACACGAGCAAACTTTTGATTTCTTAATTTGACAGTTATTCTTTCCACAAAGGTCTAGTTACTAAATACTTTAATACTGACATAGAAGCAACCACATCCTGTGTAAACAGTGGGCTCTGCTTCTACTGTACATGTATTCAAAGCAGCTACAACCAATTCTACATGAAAAGCCAATTTCCAGCACTATCATGTTTATGAATTTTATAACATTTCATACAACAATCTGCACAAATAATTTTTTTGATGTTGTAGAACTTTTGGGATATGGAGCTTGTAATATCTATTTTCTTCCTCAGACGAGCATTTCACAGGAAAGGCATAATGTGCGCTAAAAACCTATCCCATCCTATGCCCCACACAATAGTAGGGATGACAATAACCATGGAAAATCAGTTCCTTTGAGTGCGTACAGAATGATGCAGCTAATTTATCTATCACAACTTCAAACCATTCTGACATTACAGGAGTCTGTCCAGTCCAGCCGTTAACAGCAACCGGCTGCTTACACTTTACACCTGACCTACTTCATCACTCTTGAATCATTTTATAAGTATCTACATGTACGTATGCATGCGTGTACATATATTAATCCCCATGAAACACTGATATACAGGAAAAAGAATGGTAATTAGGATGACCCATTTTAGTGCCATTTGGCAACAGTTAACACTGCGACTGTGTACGCGACTTAATCTGGTGCGGTAATTAAATGCTGTGATGAGTTTCATAATTACATATATCTTTGGCTGGTCCCACATCTTACCCTCTAGGATCCACAGGTTACAGATACCAATTTACCTATGTGACCAATTCGAATTCTAGTCCCACAAATCCAATCAATAGATCTGTGAACTTTCACTCACCACTGAAAACGATTGCCGACGCGGCACCCATTACACCAAAGAAGGGCCCGTATACAGGATGTTCTTGATCAATCGGCATTTTAAAATTTGAGTATTTACAGACTCCTTATATCTCCCAGCAGAACAACTTTCATACACACACGCACACTCCTTAACGACTCGGCCCACTGTCAAATATGGCCTACACAAGTGTATGGGTCATGTGATGAGTAGAAATTTTCAGGTGTACATGTATTGTATGTCGAGTTCCTATTGGCTAACAGCTAGTACTGTGTAATTCAAAGACGAATAGAAATATCACTCTCAAACATAGTCTTGTGACGTCATACCATGCTCAGACTCGCTGAACAGCCGTATCTCTGGAACACTATTTTGTTTTAGGATTAATAATCAAGGCAAGAGAATTACATTAAAGTATTAAAAATTTAAGATTACAAAACTTAGAAAATTGCATATTTTACTGATGTTTGTATTTCCATAAGGCTAATATATGATTATGCATACTTAATTTAGAAGCAACATTCAGTAGGAGTTCATAAATTGTTTGAGCACAAGTGAGATAATTAAATGCAATTTATCGTTTTCAACAGTTAGTACAGTACAGTTAGTGTTAGTAACATGTCAATAGCCACGACTGTCAAGAAAATATCATAGCGAGTCTATAGTGCGTAGTATCATTGATCGAGTCGCATGTTCAAAGTTAATGAAGTTGAATATGTCAGAAGTACATCGGGTACACACGTGAATGTTGAATGAAATACTTCGAAGTTGGTTGCCTGTAGAATCTATCGCCGTTTGAATTATTTCGATGTTGGTTGCCTGTAATTTCTATCGTCGTTTGTTCATTTGACGCATGTTTATTTACATTTTGTTTTTAATATGGTTGTTTGCACGTGTGAATGTTACCAAAATTAATTTATTTATTGTGGTATTTTATCCCTATAAAAGATAATGAAATTCGCTTACAAGGTAAGTAAATGATGCAGCTTATAACATAGATGAATTACACTTTGAAAGTAGGAAAATTATTTTACATTTACATTTATTTTTCACTTCATGGATCCAATCATCTCTCCGTAGGGCTGGGTATAAAACATGTCACATATTGCAAACTAATGATGACTACATATTATTCGTCCTTGGTTCAATAAAATATATAATCATGCCTCACACAGATAGTATTAGGTATTTAGTAATAATACACTAATTTGCTCACCTCGCCGTGGTGAGTAGTGAGAGTAGGACAGTATCAGGCAGTGTGATTTAACAGTAGGCGCTGCTTAATGAGTTGGAATGTTCTTGTCAGTGTATCAGGTACACTGATTTTTCTTGTCAACATGGGCCATCATAAACGCAAGTACAAGGTAGTAGAAATTTAGCCACTTAACAGGTTTTATTCTTTGCTGAACTTCATTATGATCATGAAGCAGTCGCTAGTGTTGTCACGTTTTGTATTGGATTTTCTTTGCCGCGATGTTTTCCCTTCCTGAGCAAAAGTATAAACGCAACCCATAATGCAAAAATTAAACTCCTTTATCTTACAATTTAAACGCGTCATTAGTGTACCATAATTAGAAAATAACTGACTGAAAAAGTATTTCAAATACTGAAACTGATCCAGTTCCTAAGCTTGGGCATAGAGACAGAGTGTGCAGAAGCCATGCACATTCTTAACTTCAGAAATGAACCTTATGATCAAATACGTAACACTCCTGCTTTGTATTCGGGGGCCCCAGGTTCAGATCTCGGTCTGAAAACTGGCTTTACTTACTGAGGTTCTCGATCGCTTTGAGGAAAATTCTGTGATAGTATTTCACGTTAGGTAGTTGGTTGAGGCACTATGCTACAAGCCGGAAGGTCGCAGGATTGAATCCCAATGAGGTGGATTTTTTCAATATTCCTAATCCTTCCAGCTGCACTATGGCCCTGGGGTTGACTCAGCCTCTAACAGAAATGAGTACCAGAAATATTCTTGGGGGTAAAGGGGGACTGGCGTGTAAGTCTGACAACCTTACCGACATCTGTCAGCCGATTGTCTAGAGAAAATGTGGGAGCCTCAACATCTCACAACCCTATGGGCCACCTCAGCCTGTTACAGGGATACCTTTATTTTTACCCACTAATAAATGAGTAAGTACTGATTAATGCAAAGGAGTATGTAGGTGGAAGTTACTATGAGCCATGATGGCATGTTTTGATATTGTTTGCAGTTTTGTAATCTGTTTGGGACTGTGTACCGGAAGGGCAATCTCCTCTTCACTCCAGATGGGAACTCGGTCATCAGTCCTGTGGGGAACAGAATTGCAATTTATGATTTAAAGAAGTAAGAAGAAATGTTACAAGGATTTATATCACAGTATTCTGGTACATTTTATCTGAGTTGTGCAATGTTACAATTATGCTAAGGCCATATAAAGAAGTTCTCTGGATTATGGTGATCACAGTGTTTGAGGCTTCTGTCTATCTGTCCTCTATTATGTGTTACATGATTATCACTACCAACATTTGTGTTAACAGAATGCCTAAATATCTGGGGAAAATACAGGTCAGCATGCTGTAACAATCTTAAGGGGATGCCCAAGGGATTGATGCATGAAACTTCTTTCTGTGGCCTTAATATAGTTATCCTTTAATTTACAGATGAAAATAAGGTATTTAAAAATTTTGGTGAATATTTAATTATTCTGTATTAATTTTTTATTTCAGTGTCTTGTTGTCTTTTGTGCATAACTAACAAACCGACTCCATGAAACTGTATCCTTTGTGAAAAGCTGTCGGTTGATCAGATACTCAGCAATTTCCAAATATTTTATAGAACCAGAAGGTTCATTACTACGTTCACAAGGGCCCTCCACTGGTCCCTATCTTGACCCAGATGAATCCAGTCCATATCAGTCTATCTCTCTAAGATCCATTTTAATATTTTCATGCTCCAGGGGTGTGTGACTATAGATGGGGTATGGACTGCTGAATGGATTTATTGACCACTTGTATACACCACTCTGAACTACACTTTACAGATCACTGACACACACAGACTAGCATCTTCAGTCTATTACAGTCTCCACTAGTCATTTCCTAGCAATGGCTTCTTCCGAGGGGGATTCTTCAGCTTCCCGCGCTCAGGTCCTCTTGTTACAGCCGGCCATGCAGAACTCTTGTCAAAACTAACTGGGTCCCAGGCTGGTGGAGTCTTCTCTTCACAGGCCGACTTTCAACTGAACTGACAACTGAACTCTGTTACTCACCAACCAGCTACTTCCTTTCACTTCACTCAACTGAATTGAACTGAACTGCTAACAACTGGCTGCAGCTCAGCTGATGTCCTCGTTATATAACCTCAGAGCGGACCCAACAGAAAATGCCGCCTCCAGCAATCCTTCTATTTTTGTGTTGGCCGGTTGCCTAGCAATAGACTGGGTCGGTAAAAATGTAACGAGTGACCTCAAACAAATGTCTTTTAATAAGTGGATGATGGAAATGGAAAACATAGAAATATTTTCACATATCTGAAGTTTGCATGATTAATAAGACGGGCTTTGGTTTTGATGATCAAATTTATTGGACCCTTATACATCTGGTTACAACAGTTCACAAATCACTGCCTGACACGCTGTCAGTTATTCTTGGCTTCTCGTTACATAGTCTCAGGTCAAACCACAGCACAGAAAACACATCCATTGCCTAGCAATGGATATATGTGAACTCACATAGAAAACATCTCTTGCAACACTGGTTTTATTGTGGCATGCATGTATTGTGGCCTTGTTCACTGAGTTGTTCCCTAGCAGTGGGTCTAAATGTCAGAATATTTAAATTTAGGAAATAATTAATCTTAATTACAATTAAAATACAGTGTAGCAATTTTGATAAGTTGGATAGTTGTCTTAAGTATGGTCGAGTATGGCCGAAACGTGTAGCAGTTTTAATTTCCAGTTTGTAATCGTTAATCTTTAGTTTTTATTTTTAAAGAGTAGTTGTAAATAGAGTTTTATTTAAGACAGAAGTAAATGTGTATAAACCTATACAGACTTTACTATGCATTTCATTTAAATGCATATTAATCAGCCTAATCAGTTTCATGAGTACCCCAAACTCTATGAGAATGTTGTACAGTACTTCCTCCTAACTGAATAATAGGCTTTCTTGAAGTCTATGAATAGCTGATGTACTGTCTCATTGTACTCCCATTTGATCTCAGTTAGTGTCTGTCAAACAGAGTGCCATATTTTTTGCTATAAAATATATTATCATGAACGACGTGGTGGTACCCAGAGTGACAGAGAATAATTTGGAAAATGTGGCTGTACTCGTAAATTGGACTTTCCCTTTTTTTTTTTGCATTTCCTTAGTCATACAGGTCAGTAAGGTCGCCGGTTCAAGTCCCGATGAGGTCATTGGATTTTTTTCAGTTGACCTAATACTTCCAGCCACACTAGGCCCTGGGGTTTACTCAGCCTCTAACAGAAATGAGTACCCGACGTGTAAGGCTGACAACCTTACCACCATCTTTGAGCCAATTGTCTAGATAGTGTGGGACCCTCAACGTCTCCCAACCCTATGGGCCTTCATGGCCTGGTACAGGGTAGCTTTACTTGCTTTACATACTATGAATGATGTTGATGATGGTGGTAACGGGTTTTATTTTTTTTCTGTTACAGCAACAAATCTTCAACTCTCCCGGTTGAAGGCCGTTTTAATTACACGACCCTTGATTTATCACCAAATGGCTGCACCCTTATTGCAGTCAATGAAGGTGAGATGAACCTGTAATTGTTTGGTAAGATTCTTAATGTTAGAAGCAGCTCTTTAGTATAATGAAAGTGGCCTCTGAACCTAGCATAGAAATTGCTCTTCAGAGTTTACTTAGAAACTGACCTGTAGATGTAGCATAGACAGTCGTCAGTGTACCTAGGGTAAAAATTATGCAAACCTGGCACAGAAACTGTGGACCTACCATAAACTGTGCACACCTAACAGAAACTCTGTATGCCAAGCACAGAAACTGATCTACAGCTGTAACGTAGAAACTGGCATGTGGACCTGACATAGAACCTCACCTTCAGAATGAGCATAGAAACTTATTTGCAGAACTGTTAGAAATGGTTTGAAGAGCTAACATAGAAACTGACCTTATGATCACATATAAACTGGCCAGAAGATATAAAACAGGAACCGACAGCTTCTGTAAGCAAAGAATATCTTCTGCCCTGTTTTGTAATTTTTTCTCAGAAATTGGTCATGATCTTACGGTGTCATAGTGCTGGTAGGTAGATGTTCCTGTACTGAAGGAGCTTCTGTTCAATCTCATTACAGTTCAGGTAGCAATTTTCTTGGACAGAATAGCACCAATACTCAAGTTATCTGTGTCAGTTGTTGTTCTACCAATGCACAGCTTTCTTCCATCACCAGCACTGAGAAGCAACAGACCAGGCCAATGTGCATGGTCATCTGCGGTATCAATCACAGGAATGAGGTTTTGTTTACATGACCATATTCGATTGTGGAAGGAACTGTATGAGATTCAGGATGACAGGGTTTTGGACTTCCACAGAGAACACAACATTTTGGAAATCGGACCTTTTTCCATCCTCGGGTGAGGGGTGGAAGACACCTACTCTGTTGGGTCTGTTCGAAAGAGCTAACTTCAATCACTGGCCTCTGTATGACATGTTGAGGTCATCAGAGTGAATATAATGGTTGCATTCTTCTAGGGTTTGATACCGTGTAACCATGGGTAACCTCCGACAGGATTCCATGGTTTTCACACCCAAGAGGACTGTATTTATTGCTGTTAGTTATTAGCAGTTTCACATGCAACTTGCTTTTTAAAACCTTTTGAAGTTTTGAACACTAAAATCTTATCTACATCACTGGTGTATGCACATCACATATTTCAACCAACTTTGGTCATCTTCAGATGTCTCAAAAATTGCTGATGAAACGGCTCTGCTTCCATCCGTAAGTTCAGTCTTTGGGATATGCACTTGTCTGTGTGCACATATATTAGTATCTTGTATGAGTATTATGATTATGAAGCTCCCGTTTATGCATTTTTCTCCAGACTCATGTTACTTATTCTCTCTTTGATCCAGATATTCTTCCTAACTGTTTTTTCTTCCATCAAAGTATGTTGTTCCTTGGAATGGGAAACAAATTTCACAGATGTAAAACAATAGACAAAAACGTTTCATATGTTTGAACTTTAGTTCTTTAGGCTGAGACCAGAAGATAAAAGAAAACATTAGTAAANAAAATATACATTGTTGCACTTGACAGAAAATCTATTGACAATTAGTAAAACATTAGTGAGATAGGTGTGGGTGGTTGGTTGGTTTGTTTAGTTTCTCTAGCTTTTGGGTGAAAGGTTTTCAGTGTTTATGGTTTCCTGGGAACTGATGGCATGTAATCTGGTCGGTATGTACCAGTGTTTTGGAGGAACCTGCTGCCTTTACCTCCAGCGTTGCAAACTCTTCCAGACTGCATGGTGTCATGTCAGAGAAGACTGTAGTTGTAGTGATCACCACTGTGAGAGTTACAAGTTTAGTTATGGTTTCATATAACAAGGCATATGTGCCTGAAGTTTGTTTTGGTGCCAGTACAAACTGATTACCGTCTGTTTGCATGGTTTGTGTGGATTGTAAACACCAGATGTGTCACTGTGTTTCTGCATATTTCCAGAGGGTGAAGCCCATTTGATCAGCATGGTGAGTCAGAGGATAATCCACAAGTACCGTTTCAAGCGTCATGTTTCATGCCTGCGTTTTAGTCCAGATGGCAAGCACTTTGCAGCATGCAAGGATAACAGTGGTATGTAAGAGTACCAGCAAAACATCTGTTAAGTTTAATTTGGTACATGAAGATTGTCATATTTCTTTGTGGTTTGTTTAATCATGCTCTTACTATCTCGGACTATATAGCATCAAATAGTAGGATGAATTGTAAAGAATGTAGAAGGAAACAGTCATGGCCTTTTTTACGGGACTGTCTTGGCAATTGACTAGAGGGACAGAGGGAAACAGTGAAACATCTCAGTAAGGATAGTCAGTGTCCTAATCAAAATTGAACAGTTGAACCTTTCAGATACAAGTAAGAAGCATTACTGTGTGAGCCAACATGCTTGGTTAAGTTCCTTAGAAATCAGTCATTCAGACAATCGAAGGACAGTCATTGTCAGTAGTGTTTCCAGCATTTTTGATTATGTAGTGGTGACGTATGATATGAACCTGCAATACTGAGGGCATTGTTCCATGCAGAAGAGTTAATTCGCCATGGTACCTGTGATTGGAAAAGGCTGATGAAGGTTATGTTCTCAAGGAGTTCAGAACATTTGAAAAGGATGTGACATTCTTTGAGTTGTTTCTGTGGTATTTTAGCCTAATTCCCTTAATTTAAAAAAAAAAAATAAAAGAGGCTTAAGAGTTCATCTTGCTGCCTGTTTATTTGTGTGTATCCCTCTATTGCTAGGCAGTGGCTTGGTAAACATATTCCTGCAGCAATGGATACACATGCAACGATACTAAAACCATTGGATTAGGTGCTTTCTATATAGTCTGTATTGTATCAAATACTAATGAAAGTTAAAGTGGGTGATCAGTTCTGTGCAGAACTTCTGGTTAGTATTAGTCTAGAACAATAATTTGGAATCTATTTTTGAGCACTTTTATGAACATGAAGGAAAGAGATGCTTATTTCCAGCAGAATAAAACTACAGAACATGCCACAGAGGAATTCTGTTGTCTTTGTGAACTACATTCAGTGAAGAGGCAGTCAGTAAGTGTAACAGTGGTACTGGGTTTCTCAATCTGTCCATCATGTTAATATTTCAAACAGCACAACATTCCAGAAACCTGATCTTTGTCCATGTTCAGGCAAAAAGGTAGGGAATTATCTATGTGGTAGCTCAGTCACTGGTACAGTGATGAGATTTTTCAATTGAAACATCTGAGTATGCCCCTCCCCACCTTTCGATCTGCAGATTCTCAGTACCAGAAGATGGACAAAGGCTAGAAACCCAGCAATACCAAATGTGACATAATATCAGACAACCCCCTTACAGTTAGTTTGATCAGCATGAAGGTGTTTCAAGTCATATTGCCCAGATTTGGTGGAAACTTAAATCAGAGAGTTGATGGAAACAGCCTAGGCAAGTTAGAAACTTGGAAATGATGTCTGGACCACTAGTATCGTTGGCATGATGTTTTTCTCTCTCTGACAGCCACCATCTATCTTCCATAATGCCAATAAGGGGCTATAAAGTTTGAATCCCTTCTCTTTGTATGTGTCACTTAATTGTTGTGTGTTAACGTTTTCAAGCATTGTATGTTGCAGTTTTTGTCTTCAAGGCTCCAGGACCCCACAGTGGGGAATTCAACCCATTTATAATGGAACGAGTTTTCCATGGGGCATTTGATGAAATAACTTGCATGGATTGGTCTTCAGATTCAAGGTACACCTGTGTGACTGACACTTTGGTATGACATTATCTGTGGTGGCGTGGTGTTGAGTTGGGTTGGTAGAACGTTCAAGTGTGATTTGCTTTCTGGAGGGAATTTACATTACTTCCTCTAAGGTAGGACTAGGAGTTAATTGGAGGGGTTCTCTAGATGTCAGTAGGAGTTCCTTGGGTGAAATAATCCTGCAGAAATTTGGGAATTGGTTCTTTTTAACAGTTGGGTCTGATGTGGTTTAGCTCAGGAAGATTAGTAACTTCTCTAGGGTCATGTTGACAGTCTATGATTCAGTGATTAGGAGTTGATGAAATATACAGATCCATGCAGTGATTTACAACACAGGTTGAAGTACTTAATCAATCATTTATTATGTGAAGGTAAAGTTGTCCCTGTGCTTAATTAATTAAGCACTACACCATGAACACATATGGGGGAGTGGATATATAGATCACATTTTCTTGACCTCAGCACTAGTTGGCGGTAGCCAACGAGGGTCTGTCTATTGGACCCAACTGAGTAGGTTTTACCTGAAGGCGGGGACAGAATCCAGTCACTGAAACGTTGTTTTTTTTAAAAAAGAAGCAGGACAATTTTTTAAGAACAGACAAGATGATGGATAATGTCCAACAACATATTAATTGTAATAGCATAGTATGGTGAACAGGAAACAGTGTCCAGACTGTCTGTAGGGCCCAGCTAGCATCCTTTCTCCTTGGGAGTAAGCTGCTGGCACGCATAGCTAACCCCCTCTGTGTACTGTCAAGTATAAGAGTGCTTGGAGCTATATCTTCACTCTTGCAGCTTCATAGCAAGGTGATTGATTAAGCCCAGGGACTGCTATGACTTTTGCGGCTTGCCTTACCTCTTAATTAGTCTGATTTTGCTGTCACCATTAATGCAGTCTCTTAAACATTTGATTGTTGACTGATACATGTTAACCCTTTCTGTTCTGCCTATATACATATTATATGCTTTGGCATGTCCTTACCCAATATTATCTTAAGCTTCAGCATGGAAATGGTTGAGATTTTGTTATCCGGCAGGGTCCTGGCGGTTGGCTCAAAGGATATGAGCACGAAGCTCTACAGCCTTGAGAAGCTTGCCAACTTCAAGGTATATTCTTTGGGAAGCCATACAGACTGCATAGTGGCCTGCTTCTTTGAGAAGGGATCCCTAGATCTCACAACATTGAGCCGCAATGGACAGGTGTGCGTGTGGGAGTGCAGTATTGACATGGATTCACTCCAGCCATGGGAGCCACCTGTCAAGAAGAAGCGTGAGGAGACCCATAGTGACAGTGAAGATGATATAGACACCTCCAAAGCTGAGGAAAACCATGCAGTAGAAGAGGTAGCTGCAGGTACTATTTTTTTTATTGCTAGTGGGGTGGGACTAAGTCCCTTGTACTGCGGCCACTTCTGGCCTATTGTACCAGCCCCAGATGATAGGTGAGGCTGATTGTGGAGCAATTGGTGGAATGAAGATTGGCAGGGGAAACTGAAGTATTCAGAGAAAACCTATCCCAGTGCCACTTTGTCCACCACAGATCCCACTTGACCAGACCCAGGATCGAACCCGGGCCACTGCGGTGGGAATCCAGCGACTAACTGCTTGAGCTATGGCACGGCCTTAGCTGCAGGTAAGTTTACGTTCAAATAATGCTGTTATTGGAAGTACAGTCACAGCATTACAGATACTTCTAACAAGAGTGGTATTTGCCATTTAAAATGTAACAATTGCCCATTAAAGTACATAGAACGAACAGGCAGAAATTTTCATACATTTCATAGATATACTTCACCCCACTGCACAGGTCAGTAATGAACATGGATACGTTTTGTTGTTTATGAGTGCCTGATAATTATCATGAAGGACTGGAGCATGTAGCATGAAAATGTTATAATAAACTAAACTGATTTATTGACAGTTTGATTCTATCAGTTATTTATTGAAAGTATAAAGTTGTTTTGATCGACAGACATATTTACATATCAGTGGCAAATACAAGAGGCTGCCAAGTAGGTGAATGAAGCATTGATGGAGCTAATAGGTTACATTGTGCAACTTTTCTGCCTGCTAGCAGAGTCAACAAACAGTGACAAACTGTTCTACAGGCGCCTTGCACGACACTACTTATGTGACCTCATGAAAGAGGAGCGTGAGGTCAAGCTGACCTGTGCTGCGTACCACAAGGAGACACACATCCTCATCACTGGCTTCTCTAATGGATCATTCCTTGTGCACGAGCTTCCAGAGGTCAATCACATTCACTCACTGAGGTATTCATTTTGCTTGACAACTTAGCGGATTCTTCTTCTACAGAGACACAGTTTAGATGTTCTTTGAGGAATTCAAAATTTATGGATGTCAGAACTTCCTTTGTCTCTTGCTCTTCATTATTAGATATGTCCGCTTTGTGTCACTTATCTAACAACTAAGTTCCTCCTCAGTTTCCTTGCATGTTCTTCCTTCTTTCTCTGTGGCGTCTTTCCTAACTTCCTGTTTCCATTTTGATCTTGATTTTCTTCTTAGGCACTTTGCTTTTAATTTTACATAGGTATCAGATATTGTTTTTATGTGACTGTGTGAAAGATCACATGCTTGAAAATTTCATATTGTCAGTATTTGTATTTAAATGCTTTGCAGGATAACAGTGTGACATAACTGAGGATATTGAACATAGTGGTCTTCTGTGACGTAATGCCATGTAGCATGGTAGATGAGTAGTGATGTTTGGCGGGAATGTACTGCCTCTGTGACACTGTCATTGGAGACAGCAGATTGCTCTGAAACTTTGGTGCTTATCTACAAATCTGCAGACATCACATCGGAGGAGATAGCACTCGTCACATTCACTGCCTTGAGAATCTCAAATTTCACAGTTATTGTATGTTTTTCATTAAATCTCTTCTTCTTCTTTTCTCTCCACTGCATCTTACTCTTCTTTTGCAATTAACTGTTAATTATTCACAGTAATAGAAGCAAGAAGCAGTGCTATAATTAAAAACAATGAGTTATCCAAAAACCTAGAAGAATCCACCCTCCATACTGCATTGAACCACGAGAATAAGTTAATTATTATTTACTTGTCACTGAACATCAAGACAAATATCTTCCCGATAGAAGAAAGTCATGAAGGTCAAAGCATAGAGCAATAAAATCAATAATAAATCATAAAATAGAAACCTGCAACAGGGTTAGATGGTGTGTGCTTTACTGAAAGCCAATATAAAGCATCCCTGTTAAACACGGGGTGATAGACTCATAGAAGACCATGAATTGATATCCTGTAGCAGTTTAGAAATGGAAATAAAGAGTTCTGTCATCTGGGATTTAATGCCCCATTTACATCATTTGAAGTTAACTGACCTGTTCCACCGATACATCACTTGACATTCAGCGGACTACATGATCTTATATCCCAGATGATAGAACTCTTCATAACCATTATTGTGAGAACCTCAAATCCTACATAATGAAAATGAAACTTGGCAACAATGATCCACTGCTTGCCTGTCCACTCATCTGCCTGATGGATAGTTATTAATTCATAGCCTCTTCAGAATGAATCGGGTTGTATAAGTGAGGCCCTTGCAGTCAACTGTAATCAGTAACTAAGGGATTCTGAAGTTTTGTGATCCGCCCACGTGCGGATAATGCAAGAGTCTGTCACATTTTTCTACCTCTTTCTCCGCTTTTCTTCATCCTATATGTGTTGCTTTCCTTCCCAATGACAAAATGGGCCTTTCATTGATTCTCTTTTGATTTGCTCATGGCCCAAGTTGGGACCCTTCCTTCTCTTCCCATTTATAACTCAGCTTACTTCTGCCTTGAAGATGGAGGCATTGTGTTCCAGAAGAGTTGGTGCCTGTCTCTCAGACTACGTGATGTTACACCCCACAAGACCGTAATCCCAGTCATTTTTTGTGAGTTGGAAATTACAGCTCTGACAGTAGATGCAGTTTGGAATGCAGGCTTAAAATGTTGGAAATCAGTGTGGTCATTTTGCAGTCACCAGTTTCCACTGGTCTGCATCTACAAGTGGTAAAGTTTAAACAAGAACATGTGTCATAGCTTTTTATTGAACGTGTTTTCTCTCTTGATTTGCCCGTTTCAGTATCTCGGACCAGTGCATTTCATCCATAGCACTTAACAATACCGGAGACTGGGTTGCTCTGGGGTGTGTTGGTCTGGGGCAGTTGCTGGTATGGGAGTGGCAGAGTGAAACATACATCATGAAACAGCAGGGCCACTTCAACAATATGACATCCTTTGCTTACTCCTCAGATGGACAGTATATAGTCACTGGAGGGGAGGACGGCAAGGTGAGCCGATAACGACATTGTGCAGTCTTCAGTCAAAAATAACACAGTTTGAATTTACTTCACTTGAAATTTATACTTTAAATTAAATGGCTCTCATTTGTGTGAAGGATGTTTGCACCAAGAGCAGTTTTCAGAGATTATTATAATTACACGTATTAGAGATGGGATCCTGGGTTCGATTCCTGGCGCTACCAGATTTTCTGAGAAGTAGTGGGTCTGGAACGGGGTCCACTCAGCCTTGTGAGGATAATTGAAGAGCTATTTCAAGGAAATATTGGCTCTGATGTAGAAAACCGAGATTAACGATCATGGGGATTTGTTGCGCTGACCACGTGACACCCTCTATCTGTAAAAGTTGGCACCAACTTTGCCGACAAACGGCGGTTGCTCAGTCGGTATTGTTTGCTTGCAGACTACGGGCCGTGGAGTTTAGTTTTTTAAACCTGGGAACTGGTACCATGCGGTGTACGATCCTGACAGCAGTGATAATGGATCTTAAAGGTGTGCATCTCACTTTGAGCCATTTAATCTAAATTGAAAAGTACTCTCATAATGAGAACACACAGTACAGTTTTTTTAAAATTATTTTATCATTATATGTGAATCTGTGTAGATACACTTCTGAAATTTGGTGCAAGGCAAGTACCAACATTTCATGCAAGCCAGACTACACAGCGTCACATCCCAGAAGACTGTAATCTTAGTATTAATCATCATGAGAAACAAGAATACCATGTAGAATGAGCAGGTGTCAGTGTCTGCTTGAAGATATTACACATGTAATTTTTGATGTGCTGAATGTTAAAATTGTCTCTATTCACTGTCACAGGTGAAGCTTTGGAATACTAGCACAGGGTTCTGCTTTGTGACATTTCATGAGCACACGTCAAGCATCTCTGGTGTACAGTTTAGCCGCAACAGGAAGTTCATTGTCTCGGCATCTCGTGACGGCACAGTTAGGGCATATGATATGATGAGGTGAGCACATCAACTTATTCCTTCCTCTGCTCCTTCCGCTTGTCTTCAGCTTCTTGTCTTGCTCATTTTGTTCCAACCCTTTTCTGGATCATCTTGGCATATGAAAATCTTCTCCATTACCCCTGTCCTTATATTAAATTTTTTGCTCAACTTCGTTTATTCTCCCTCTTCTTTGTTGATTGTGTTTGAAATGTCTTGTCTAATGAACTTATGGTCAGTCACAGACATGACTGTGCTTCATGTGGCCACCATTTAACCAGTACAGTGACTGAGAAACAGTTCTTGTGCTGTATGGAACACTCAACACTTAGCGCTTGCAGTGTGAACAAGTTTGCAATTTATAGAATCATTTTGACTCTGTTGTCGAATTGGTTCCCTCATGAGTAAATGTCTGTACCGTAAAATAAGCAGATGTTGATGAGACACTACACTTGTGCCACTCTATGGACTGTAGGACAGGTGCTAGCTCAGTGATCTTTCTTATGCATGCACCAGGAATATTCTGTAAACGTTAATGAGTTTCGTGTATGGTTGCTACCATTTTGTTTTCCCATCTCCTGTCAGATATACAGCAAGTCTACAATAACTGTAGCTTTCTTTTCACATGTGAAGGAAGCCTACTGTCTCACAGTAAGAACTGAAAGTGATTCATAACAGGGTGCTGAGGAGAATATTTGGACCTAAGAGGGACGAAACAAAAGGGGGCTGGAGGAAACTGCATAATGAGGAGCTTTATTATTTGTGCCTCTTATAAAATATTATGATGCTAGATTAATCTGGATAAGGTAGGTGTGGCATGGATGAAATGGATAAAAAATTTTGGTTGACCACTAACCTGAAAGGGAGATGCCACTTGGAAGACCTGGAGATAGACGGCAGAATAATATTAGAACAAAAGTTTGAAAGCGAAGTTCTGGGAAGAAGTTATTGCTGCTATCCTTTGATACAGTATAGGCCACATAGGAAATGATGTGTCTAGCATGTGTTCGTTGCCATGGTAATGTTTACTGAGCCATTGCCTATCATCCACACCGTTACTCAGCAACAGTAAGGGTGGATCCACATACAGACACATGGGGAAAGTTGGCTAACAGCAGAGGAATTGTCAGAGGCAATGTTTTCTCTGCAGTCTGTCCCAAAGATGTAAAAATAGGACAACCCAAAAGTTGGAGAACCTGATTACTGAGCTGTTACCTAGTAATGACTCTCTCCATGGCATGTCTTTGAATTCACTATTCTGGCTTTCAAACGTAATGTTACACATCACATATGTGTTTATATGGTGTTGTAACGACTGTCTCTTCTGGCTTTCATGAGTTATACACAGACACACAGATAGCAAGATGATCTGATAAGCTTCCTTTTACGTAGGTTAGAAATAGGGTGTGGGTGTGTGTTTATTGGATTTGTCTGGCTCAGGTTAGGGACCACATGAACATTTTAATGAAGCTACAGGTTTCATAAAGACTGGTGAACATCCTGACTATCTGAGCGACTGTTAGCTTCTCAAGAGTTGGCTGCATGAACAGTTGACATTAAATGAAGGTTAATTTTCAGGTACCGTAACTTCCGCACATTTGCTTCCCCACGACCAGCTCAATTTGCCTGTGTGGCCATGGATTCAACAGGAGAGTTTGTGGCTGCAGGTGGCCATGATGTGTTCGAAATTTACTTGTGGTCTATGAAGATAGGCCGACTGTTGGAGGTATTCAGCTCTTGTTTGCTTATCTCTACAGATCTGAAACTTAGAAATTCATACAGGTCAGTCATCTCCAGTCCAGCAACCTCAAGACCAGATTGTAGCTGGACCAAACAGTTTTCTGAATGGTGGGTTGCTGCTACTACCAAAACACTGAGATAACCGATCATAACATAATATGCTAGTGTTGCTACAGTGAACAGGGCACAGTGTTTGCACTTAAAAGCGTTACAAAAGCCATCTCTGCTTGGTGGTCTCCTTGAAGCTGTATTAAGGGGCTGCCTGGCAAACTAAACTGATGCTGGACCACAGAAAGCTCCAACCAGTATTTTTAAATTTTCATTGTGATGTGGTTTAACATGTATTTTTACAGTTCATCTAGTCATCAGACAACCTCCACGGTGTAGTGTTGTTAGAGTAGGGTCTGAGTGATGTCCAAGAAACAGTACACTATTGAAATGCCAGAAATCCATTTGTATAATGAAGACGCAAAATGTTTGGGCCCGACTGTGCTACTGTCATGAAACTGGTGTGGGCCCAGGGGCTGCATACTTCAAGTGATTGATTTACTCTTGCTGCATGCAGAGAGGTTACCTCTTTATGAATTGGTACCAGAAATCACCACCCAAACTAAGTCACCCTCTGGAAATTACAGTGTTCTGGGATGTGAAGCTGTGTTGTTTGTTTGCTGTGTCCATCTTTGGGGTAAATTGAAGCAGTAGATTACTCAGAAACATTTTTATCCATCTACCTAACTACTGTGTCACATCCCTTAATACTGTAATCCTAATGTTTACTGTCTTCAGAACTTCACATTGCTAGGTTGAGCTTTCATCATTAACCCAGTCATTGTCACAGCATAAACATTAGTGCTTTTGCTAGGTGCTCCTGGCAGTTTGTTGGTGTCATATGGTCAGGTGATGAAAATGTAATGCTGCTGCCATCTCATGGCTGTCCCATATGAGGGAGTCCCACCAGCAGATGATGACAAGTTCTTGAAAGTTCAGCAGTGTGAGTAACAAACAAGATGGAAGACATCTTGATACACATGGCTGCCCTTGATTGGCTTGCCCCACCGAAACCTACTCACTAGAAATGCCAAGCTGCATGGGAGTGAATGCAGTTGCACATGCCAGCCTGTAATACGTAGATTGCCTTCGAACAGTCGTTTGTATAGCTAGAATGAAAGTCTGTTCTTTCCTACAAACATTGGTGTGTCACATTTGAAACAGCCTTATGACAGAAATGTTATACTGCGTGGTTAAGATCTACCTGATCTCTTCAGCTGTGGCAGTTTCAGTGCGCTGTGTCAAGGTGATCTAATTCGATCATGGCAGGTAAAGAGTGAACTACAAAGGAAATACATACATAGCATGAGTGATGGTTTTGTGGAATTTCTTATGAATGCTGATAGTAAGAGAGTATTAGAAATCCATTCACTAAATATCCCATGAATTTTTTATCTGTTATTGTGAACATACTTGACCTAACAGGGTTGCTGCGCTGCATAAGTGCCTAACAGTGAAAGGGTTAAGCTTTTGGTTTGTTTTGTTAGCAGAATAAATCATTTGGTGTCAGCAGGTTCTTATACAACTGTGGGTTATGAGTTTTGAGGATTGGGTAGGTGGTTCATACTTCCCTGTGACTGAGGAGAGCAGTGCGAACTTCTGATCTTCTGATACATGGCATCGCGTGACAGATCTGTCTTGTGCCTCTGACAGGTTTTGTTACAGAGGTTAATCATCAGACTCTTAACATGCTGATTAATTCATAAGTTTGTATAGTCTTCTGGCTTATGATATCATACAGTCTTTTAGTTACCAACGTTTTGGCAGAACATAATGCCTCCATCTTCAGTATAATATTGTATTGTCAAGATATGAGTGTGTTCCTCTGATACATTGGTACTCACCTACGAGACATCACCACCCAGAAAATCTCAGTTCATATTATTTAACCCTTACACTGCTGTGGTCAACATATGTCGATCTCTGAAAAACATGGCGTCCTTGCTGCGATCGACAAAACCTGTATTGCAAATTTAGAGTTTCAACTCTCAGGTTTCTTTGCACCAATCTCATTCAAACTTGGCGGGTGCATAGAGTTAACTATTGGGAACGTAATGAAGCATCATTCTTTTCAGTGGCTGGATTCTTCTGCCCTGTAGCTTAAGAAATGTAAAAGGTCGCATCTGCACAGTGAGGCACGTGCTCTGTGGTCATGAGGAGCAGGTATTTCACAGGACTAGTAAAAATGACTTCATATAGTGCACAGTGCTTTCCATAATATTTTTAAATAAAGTTGTGGACTTTGGTCAACATGAGACATAGTGATAAGACTAGGATAGTGAATTATGTACTTTTTTGGCCATCTTGGACAACCCTGATTTAAATGAATTTTTCCCCTGTGAAAAATACTGAATAATTTAACATTTTTGCAACTTCTGATGCCTCTTCCCTGTCTGAGGTAAGATTAGTTACATTTTATCACAAATTTTCATAATTTGCACTTAAATCATTTATAAAAGATTTATTCAAAAATAATTCCGCACAGAGGGTACTGAGAGTTAGTTAACATACTAGCAGTGAAAAAATTAATGACACTGTTTTAACTGCATCATCATCATCATTTATTTACATTCCATAAATCCACTACATATAGGATAAGGAATTAGTCATTGATAATACAAATAACACTACATAGAAATAACAATATAAGACTCATTACGTTATTCAGTACCATAATCACAGTTAATTATTGGAGTCAAATTTACAATCAAAGTATTCTTCCAAGGAATAAAACGAGTTCATCAACAAAAATCTTCTTAAAACAATTTTAAAATGTTTAACATCTTGAGCCAGGTTCCTTATATTAGGAGGAAGCCAATTAAAAACCTTAATTCCATGGTAATACACTCCTTTCTGAAATACAGTCAACTTACATGTAAGATAATGGAATTTATTATTATATCTTGTATTCCTATTATATAACTCAGAATTTAACTGAAATTGATCTTTATTATTAACTACAAACATTGCAAGAGAAAATATATACTGAGATTGAAGGGGTAAAATTTCCAGTTCCCTGAACAATTCCCTACATGAATCTCTGTTCCCAGAGTTCATTATAATTCTAATTGCCCTTTTTTGCGAACCTAAAGATATGAATACTATTAGGGGAATTACCCCCAAAAACCAAACCATAGGTCATAATTGAATGGAAGTAAGAAAGGTAAATCATTCTTAATGTACCCTGAGACATGTAAGATTTTAGGGCTCTAATCGCGTAACATGTGGAGCCCAGTCTAGACATTAACCAATCCACATGTCCATTCCAAGACAATGTGTTATCAATAATAAGCCCCAGAAACTTAATATTTGTAGTGCTAACAATCCGATCATCATCATCCTCAATATGAATATCCATTGGCTGGCGGTTCTTAGTCAGAAATTCGATAAAATGTGTTTTCTCAAAATTTAATGACAATAAATTATCTTGAAACCAGTCATTTATGTTTTTAAATATTAAAGAAGCCTTGAATTCATTATCAGCAGACCTAGGGTTAGTAATGACTATGCTAGTATCATCAGCAAAAATAATGGGTTTGGACTTGTTCGATATGATATAGGGCAAGTCATTTATATACAACAAAAACAACAAAGGACCCAGAATTGAACCTTGGGGGACTCCATTTTTAATTTCCCCCCATTCTGAGTACCTCAGACCGTTATTCACAACAACTCTCTGATGCCTATCAGCAAGGTACGACTTAATCAAAGCACCAGCCTTATCAGCCACGC